CAGGTGGACTCCAATCAAAGTTGTAGAAACATCTCAAGGATGATCAGTGGAAACAGAATGCACCTGAGCAAAATTTTGAGTGTCATGGCAAAGGCTGTGAATACTTATGTACATGTTGCAAAAAAACCTTTTCACTTTGTCATTATGGGTTGTTGTGTGTAGAATGTTGAGGAAAATAATGAATTTAATCCATTTTGGAACAAGGCTGTAACATAACAAACTGTGGAAAAAATGAAGCGCTGTGAATACTTTCCGGATGCACTGTAGGTTTGATTCCATACCTTTTTTTTAGCGAAGGCTGGTTCTGAAACATGTCAGTACACCTGCAAGAGACTTCTATTCATGTGTCTTTACTTTTGTTGGGCAATAATCATTGTGCAAATCTTTCCAATAAATGCGTCTCATTGTGGTCATGTCGCTTTTTTTCAATCAATGTTACTTCCTGGTTATATGGTGTCCTTTAATTGTTATCTTTGTAATGGTTGGCATTGCTTTTGGTCAGCTCAAGTGTCTTTTTGACCTCATTTTATTGTTGTTTAGCATCTAAACATAATTTCAACATTTTTTCAATGTCTCTCGGTAGTCTCTCTTTTTTTTGGATGTTTTTAATTTCTTTTTGTTTTTTAAATCTATTTTCAGATAAGCTCTGTTTGAGCTAACTATTATCATTTTCTCACTGGTAGGTCTATTCAGTAATCCAGTGCCACGACTAGTTTGGTGTATTTGAGCACATACTGTCACGGTGTGGTTTTATTTCCTGTCTTATTTTTTAGTTTTCTGCTTGTCTCCCTGGGTAACTTCACTTCCTGCCTTGTCCTGTCATCGTCTGTGATTGTCTGATTGTTTCCACCTGTGTCGAATCACCTGCACCTCCCTAATGTATTTAAGCGGTGTATGTCTCCTGTCACTTGTCATTGTTTGTTGTCCTGGATGTTCCTTGTCCCTGTCTACCGTCTGGATGTTCCTCGTTCCTGCCTGCTTTTTTTTTTCCCCTGGTACTTGTGTGTGTTTTTGCCCGTTGGCCTGTTACTTTGTTGGAGTTTTTGACTATTAAAGTCCTTTTTGTTTCCTGCAAGCTCTGCGTTTGAGTCCTGCATTCCCACGCATCCCTGACACATAGTCAAACATTTTATATTGTGGTTGTGGTCAAGAACAAGTATGATCATGACTTCCAAACTGATTGCAGCAACGATGTAACGTGACATTGAGGGTATTAAATATATCTAATCACTGTCTCATCTATCAATTTACCTCTGGACTTCTCTCACTGTATCAATAGATGATAAAGGACAGAAGTGTTTAAATAAGTCAAAAACAGGAAGAGCCAATAAATCCTGCCTGTTCTGCAGTGCTTCAGCCAAAGATACGCTGAGTGTCAGATCGAGACAATGATGAAAGAAAAGAGGAAGGACCACAAAGAGGCAGCCCACTCCAGGTTGCTTAGGAACTCTTTGGCCAATGTGACGGAGGCTCATTAAGTAAGAGATAAGGTGACGCTGAAACACGATCGAGCTCTAGGAGAGAGTCATATACAAGTGAAACAAACACACAAAAGACTTCTTTTATCATATTTCAATATGAATAAAGAAAACACAAAGAAAATTCCTGTCATTGTCTATTCAACATGGTCTTGTTCATTCATCTCCTTAATCAGCCTTGCTGCTACCAGTTGACTACTTGAAATCCAAATGCATTCATGAAGGTTCACAGTGTGGACATCATAACTATAACTGTAATTATGTATAACGGTTGCTCTGTTGCTACATTCATGTCAATAACATTCCTGCTGTTACTGCCTTCATCACAATACCCCAGAAAATTGTTGACCATTGAATAGATGGATAGATTTCTCAATTCTGTTGAATTATTCTGCATCAAAGGACAATTTAAAATATTAAATTCTAATGGAAAATACTACGGCAAGAATATGCATTGCGTATGGATTTCTTTAAACACACCTTTAGACCAACCTAAACTTAGAGGAAAGACTTACATATAGGCATGGTATACATCTCACTACACCTGTACTTAGTAAAAGGAAAAGTATTATTAAAATTATTGTCCACACATAAAAACGTCATCAATGATTAAGTAAAGCTGAAAAAGTATACCATGGTATCTATAGTAACTAAAATATTCCAACCGCTATTATTCCACCAATGAGCAATACTTTGTCGACCGATTTTTTTTATTACTGTAAAGCACTGTACAGTGGGACTGTATTGAGCGTTTTCAGGGTCAGTTCTTCTCCATGCTTGAAGAAAGCACATTGACAGCTGGGGAAGAAAGAAAGGGTTGGTAAATACACTACTCAGACCGGGTCATGTGGTCACGAGTAGTCAAGCAGCAGAGTTTTGGATGTACTGGAATTTATTTAGGATCTTGGATGATGTGCCATAAAGAAAAGGGGTGATCAGAGTTTATGCAGCCGATGTGGAGAGTGATGGGCGAAGACGGGCTATGCTTTTGTGATAGCCAGGTGGTCGGAGATATTGCGATTGAGGCTGGAGAGCTGAGGTATTGGGATACCAGTGGAGCAGACCAGATCCAGGATGTGACCTCAGCTGTGAGTGGGGAAGTTGGTAAGTTTATATATTTTTATTTACAAACATGGTTTTTGTTTGCGATGCAAGAAATTTGCTCTCAAAACAGTTTTTTTTGTTGCATTAATAAAGACACAAATCTACCTTTTTTATATTGTCTTTAAAGTTAAAATGAAAATGGATAGAATAAAAAGTACAAATTCAATCAAATATCACATTTAGATCATGAGTGCAATGTCAGTGTAACATCAGCAAATCAAGAAATATTTTTTTATCTGGGAAAAGGATATATTAAAATCTAAGTAACCAACGTGCTTCCAATGCCGAGTGAAAAGCACTTGTGAACTGCACCGGCTTAGCTCCAGTCAGTCACACCCCCAAGGTTTCTCTTCATTCGTCCACTAAGACAAAGATGAGGAGGCCCTATGGCGTATCCTTGGATGATTAATGTCATGGGTGGATCATTTCACTGGGGCCCTCCCACAGCGCAACGCGGAGTGCTAGCTGACCTCGCTTGCCGCTTACCTCTTAAAGAAAGTGGCCTGAAGACATTCACCGACCACACAACGCCGCACAAATGCAACGATGATCCACGTTAGGTGAAGATTTTACGAGGGGCAAGGGAGGCATGAGCATATTACACTCGTAGTGTATCATTTTCGCTCTTGGCTGAAAACCTTGCACTTGCATTGGGAGCAAACTCTCCTGGTTGCATCATCCGCACACACAATGGGGCGCTTTGGGAGATAGTCAAAGGTACAAGGCCAAGTTTAGCAAAATAGCCTATATCGTGAGTTGAAAACCAATTCCATTGAGGCCTGAGCTTAATAGTAAGTTAGTCCAAATGTGAGTTCAAATGATTCTTTTCATGCTCTGGAAGCAGGGGGAAATGTGGCGCGATCATTTTCAGGCGTGCAAAGAAATGAAAGTATGCGGGGGTTCAAATTCTCTCCAGTGGTGTGGTGTTCAAAGAATTACTTTTAATGTTCGCTAGAACTTACTTTTAATGCAAAGAGCAAAATAATGAATAACTTTGAGGAGAGAATGTCTGAGAGTGAGCAGCGCTTCACACGTTGTTTCAATTTATGGAATAAACACTCCATCTTTTGAATACGGCCATTTAGATACCGACGGTCAAATAGACCATAAAGCATGCTTTGCCCCAGGTCTACGATTTGATTGACAGGTTGCTACCTCACCATTGTCCAATTAGAGTTGTTTGTGTATTCCTCTGTGCTTAACCCTTTTACAGTGTGTTTCCACTTGTGAATGTTAACTAAAACATTTTGGTCCCCTGAAAATATCTAATTCCTGTCACTTAAAAAAAAAGATAGGGATGGTCCATGCTGACATCGAGGCTTCAAAACAAGTCCATGCACAAAAAAGCAACGTCATGACACGACCAGGGGCGGCACGGTGGCATGGTGGTTAGCACTGTTGCCTCACAGCAAGAAGGTCCTGGGTTCGATTCCGCCCAGTGGCCTTTCTGTGTGGAGTCTGCATGTTCTCCCCGTGTCTGTGTGGGTTCTCTCCGGGTTCTCCGGCTTCCTCCCACAGTCCAAAGACATGCTCTGGGGATCAGGTTAATTGGGGACTCTAAATTGCCCGTAGATGTGTGAATGTGAGTGTGAATGGTTGTATGTCTCTGTGTTGCCCTGCGATTGGCTGGCGACCAATCCAGGATGTACCCTGTCTATCGCCCGAAGTTGGCTGGGATGGACTCCAGCCCCCCCGCGACCCTGTGTGCAGGATAAGCGGTTTGACAATGGATGGATGGATGGATGGATGACACGACCACTTCTTATGTGTGATAAAGCCACTTTATTACCTGCTCAACAGAAAATAGCAGAATCAAAATGTTAGATCTTCAGAATTAAAGACCAAAACATTAAGCTAAAAGAGAGAATATTGGACTTTCATCAGGACACACACAATTTCAGATGAATGATCAAACTACTATGTGTCAAAACAAACACAGTTTGGTAACAGAACTACAAAGTTAACACCTATTATATGTTGAAAATGTTGGTGTTATGTTCAAAGCCTGTAAGTGGTCAAAGAAAAGTTTTTAAGTGAAGCCAAGCAATATCCAAACCAGACTTAAAAAAAACAAATCTGTTTAAAATGACAGCAATGAATTAATTATATCATCCATTGTGTGGTTACTCTATTTCAGTCTTACCGGAAAAGAGAACACACTTTGTTGATTGATGTCAGAAGGATTTTTTTACAGCCGAGGTTTTTGATTGAGGCCCCCGAGAGATGGAATGATGGTGATGCTAGTGATGCGCCGATTGGATGAACTGCGCTGCCGCTACCTTCTTCGTGTGGGCGTTGTTTAAAAAAAGAGAAAACTCCTGGAGCGGGGAGGTGGTGGGTTTATTTACGTAGCACTTTACCCTCCCATTGGTCCCTTTTGAGAAGCTGTTATGATGCGCTGCGGTGACACTACCAGGTTTCCGGCCATAAAAAGCCAAGGCAACGAGCCGCGCAGGAGAAACACGAAGAGTTGGAGAAAGACTTCTAAAGATAGATGCGCCTCTGAGTCTTGTCTCGGCTGGAAGTATCTGTCCAACTCCCGAGGTACTGGACACACACTTACATGTTTTTATTTACTCTCTGTCTGGTCTAAGTAAAGAAGCAATTATGTTTCCCTTATTTAGTAAAGTGCCGACAGAAAGACTGAGCTCCAGTGTGCCATTACGCGCCGCGTACGGGTCCAAAAAATCTATATGTTTTAACAAGATATTTCGAATATGTGTTTTCAATAAGCAATTTATTTAGTTTTCTTGGGTAGCTAAAACAAGCTGGTCTAATTCTGTTTTTCTTCCTGCGTGTGTTTTTTTGTCTGCGTGTGCCAGGGATCTGGTGAAGAATGGAGTGGTATGTCTTGGTGCTGATGCTGAGCTTTCCGTCCTCCCTCCGCGCAGATTGCTCCCTGCAGTGCCAGAAATGTGTGCAGCGGATTCTCGGCCCCAACGCTGCATTCAGCAGCCTGGTAACTTAACGTGGAGCTTTGAAACTTCCAATTGTCTCCAATAGAACTTCCATTTACTTTATTTTTAATTGTTTTTAAATGTTTTTAATTTCCCAAATCCGACCGATGCCTAATGTCCGTGTGAATGCACGCATAACCAAAACTTCTAACTAAATCCTTTTATTTAAAGCATATAGTGTGGCGTTAGCAACTAAATGCACTTTTGGGTTCAGATAGTGGTCCAAGTTGCTTAAACTGCAAAAATAAAGAAAAGGTGTAAAAAACGCCTGTTAGCGCCGCGTGCGTCTCATGCTCTGTTCTCCGTGTCCCGCAGTCGTGCAGCGCGCAGTGTGACGGGCAGCTGGAGAGCTGCCAGCGGGCTCCGGCGCTGGCGGACTTCAGCCAGGACGAAGCGGCAGAGGAGGAGGAACACCAGCAGGCTGACCTGGTCAAGCGCTACGGCGGGTTCATCAAAAGGATCGACAAGAACAAAATCTTCGCCTCCCCGTGGCGCGACAACTACGTCCTGGAGGCCGGTGCGCTGCCCGAGAAGTACGAGGACCTGCTAAAGAGGTTGGAAGAGAGGGACGCGGGGGAGCCCGCGGGGGACCGGGCGCTGCGCGGGTACGTGAAGCGCTACGGCGGCTTTTTACGCAAATTCGGGCCCAAGTCAAAGAGGAGTAGCTCCGCGGAGACGGATAGCCAAGAGCCCGAGGAGCTGCAAAAGCGCTACGGGGGCTTCATGAGGCGGATCCGACCGAAGTCGAACAACCTGAAGTGGGACAAGCGTTACGGAGGCTTTCTGCGCCGCCACTTCAAGATCTCCGTGCGCTCGGCGGAGGAGCCGTATTACTCATACGATGACTTGAGCCTATAGATGAACTCTCCAGGGGCTCTTGAATCTGAGGATTTGCGTGAGGAGAAACCAGAGGAAGTCTGAACGAACGTGAGAAAAAAATAAAGAAAAAACAAGAACTTGTGCAGGTTCACTTGAATTACTACTATCTCTCCAGAAAGCATCGTACTCCTGCCTCTATTGCTTACAGCCAGCTCGGTTGCCTTCTGTGTAAAATGAATCCTCATCTGTGTTATTGGCATCATCGTGTGTCACTCAATAAATGATGCTTGTTTAATAAAGACACTTTCCTGTTTGCTCAACGACCCAGAAGGATTCGACTGATTTCAGCCCCTCAGCATGTTCTGCTCATCGACAGCAGATGGACGTGATACCTTTTAAAACGTCTTAAATATAATTACAAGATGAAAGGAAAGTCGGACATGCAGTATGTCATGTGCGCACCAATTTTCGCTTTTTAATTTAATCAATAATGTGGTTTATATTTGTAGTGTATCCTTCATTAAAGGTAGGCCTTTGTCTCGAATGTAACCAGAAAATGTAATAAATAAAATAACCGACTAATCAATTAAGCGAAAATAGAAACAAAACTAAGAAATAACATATTTGGTATAAGAACGCTATCGACTGAGCAAAATAAGTTTAAATACGACAAACACTGCACATACCCCCAAAAACAACATGAAAATGGTTTAATTATTTACATTTGCAAAAAAGGTGATCTCAATCGATGTACGAAGACAGTAAGTGTACGTGGCCCTTATTATTATTATTATTATAAAGGAAATCAATTAATGTGAGCATATGATCCAAGAGGCACAACTAATGTGAAGAAACATGAACAAACCGTAAGGTTGTGGCGCCACCTAGCGACAAAGAGCGTTACTAAACTAGGAGCTGGTTCACTATTCAAGGACGTGGTTCGTTGGTTTCGATCCATGAAAACAGTACAATATAAGCTGCACGATAGGTCTCACATTTCTGCTGCATTATTACCTATTTACATCAATGTCACAAAATTACATGGCAGCTGACCTACAATAAGAGGATATTAAACAGAACTAGTTGGATATATATATCTCACAAGGCTAATGCTTGTTTGTGTAGGTTATATATTTGTCTACATAAATATATTGTCGGGATATATCTATAAATATATGTCCAATGGTCAATGTCACTTAATATAAAATACCATGTTACGGTATGAGACATTGGTCCCATATTCAACACATTTAGAATCTAGTAATAGTGGTCATGTGACCACAGCTGCTAATGCTTCCATGACAACTGAGCGGTTTTGATAAAGACATCTGAAAAAAGACAGTAAGTTGACCTTGAATTGTGATTTTCTTTGTGGGGAAAAAAGCTTTAAAATGTACGACCTTGTTGGCCACTAAAGGACATTCAACATGTAGTGACATACCATTTGTTCTTGAAAACACAGTTTATTATCAAACTAAACAACACTGGGTTGTTTCCAGCCTATATGGAATCCATCCCTACAGAAACAGCTGTATCAAATATATTAGTTACCAATAAATATTTACAGTCACATCACACCATTGCCACCATATCAATTTAGGCATTGTGAAAATTCTACAAGGAAGGCTTGTGTGTTCAATGACAAAAGAAGAGCGCGCTTGAGCCGATCTGTTAAAAGTCAAAATGTGCACAATATATCGGACATTCAGTCCCGCGTCCAAAATATTGAAATGGAAGGCAATAACTAGGTGGGAGGGGAACCGTCTCCTCACTGCTCCCCGTCCTCCTGCTCTGGCTGACTCTCCTCCTCCCCGTCTGCCTCTCCTTCCTCTTGCGACTCATTTGCAGCGGTTGCCGTGGCATCCAGCACACTGAGGCTGCCAACCTGCTGCTGCGTGGCGGCCAGGCTCTGCAGTGCGGCCTGCAGCGTCACCAGCTGGAACTGGGGGCCGACCACCTTGACAAAGCCGCCACCCTCCTGACCCGCCGTGGCTGACAGCACGGTCACGTTGGAGCCGTCGGACCCCAGCTCAGCCCCGGAGAGTGAGGAGGTCAGGAAGGTGTACCCGGCCAGGTTGGCACCGGCCTGGGCCCCTGCCACGGTCAGGACCTTGCTGAGCGGCAGGCCCGTCAACTGGCCGAGCGGCAGGGTGATCTGGGTGGGGCTGGCGCCCACCGAAGCCGGTCCGGAGACGGCGCGGGTCAGTCGTGGGCGCTTCAACGCCGGGGGCGCGGGCACCGGGGCGAGGGTCATCAGGACGTTGTTGAGGTGCTGGGATTTGCTCTTCAGCTCCTTGGCCCGCTTCCTGTGCTCGTCGCACTGCTGCTCCAGAGCTGCATGTGGAAACAACACATCATCTTTATGCAGCCCTGTGCCATGCTGAAAAGTGAGAATCTGCTAAGAGGTCTTGTACTGACCGGCCAGGCTGCGAGTGTACTGCTCTCTGTAGCGGTCCATCTGGCTCTTGTGACTGGCTAACACCTTCTTCACTAGGTCCAACATCCCGAAGTTCTGTACTATGTTGTTCAGCAAAACAGCATCTGAAAGAACCCAGCAGGTTAAACATGAAAGCAGCAGAGTAAAGAAAAGTGTTGTAAAGACAAATGGCGGAGTGATTTGACCTAAGTAGGCGTCTGTTGGATCTCAAGACTAAACGTTTGTAAAGGAAACTAAATCTTGAGGTTTGAAGACCCTTGTACTGCATCTCTGCTTCAAGCTACTCAAGCCACTTGTAGCAGAACAGCCCCGATCTCTGGACTGGCGGTGGCTAAGATACAGTGTGGGTAATTGCAATTGCTTTGACCTTCACTGCTGTGGACCCTTCACATTAAAAGCTTTCCACCGGTCAAATGCTTATATTGTGGACGTTGTAGTTGTAGTTATAGGAAATGCAATGTTCGTTGCCAAGTTTGCAAGCTTCATTTGCGGCACTTCTCTACAATGAAAATAGACCTAAACACCAAGATGAGAGCATTGGCTTTCATACTGCAGGGAAAACAGGATTGCACCTGAATAAAATACATTATAGGTCCAATACCATTGTACCAGTTTTTACCAGCGATATTATTCTTGTGATTAAATAGGACTGGCTGGGTGTGTTTTTCAAGCCTGTGTGCAGTGCATTCTAACAAACATGTAATTTTCCCACTGGGAATTAGTAAAACGTATGGATTATGATTAGTGTGTATATTAAATATTAACTAACAAGACTATGTTGGAACACACAGCAATTTTCTCCCACGCCGTCTTATGCTGCAGTAGCGGTGTTCTTTTTTTTCTAATTACAGGTTCATACTCGCCGTACGCCTGCATTAATATTCCCAGCTCAATAGGGGTGAAGTACGCTGACCGATTGTTTGTGGTTGTTGCCATGGTAAATCGTAGTATCATGGCTCCATTCATGCTGCCTTCATTCTGTGGCCTTGCATGCCCTCAACTCTGAGTCAACCTACTCTGAGTTGATTGAACCAACTCCAAACAGCTGTTCTGAAATCCAAAACTTAGAGTTTCCTTGAGATGGGAAACTCTTAAGTTTAGGGTTTGACTCAGAGATTGTGTGCCGGGGTCCTACTTGAAACGGACCCCGGCAAACCAACTAGAGGCGAGGCACACAGCCTTCAATTGAATGTTTCAGACGCCTACCTCGGTCGGTGTGTGTGTGTGTGCATATTGTGTCTGTGTGGTTGCAACCTTTGACCTGAAGTGGTGGGTCACACACTCTCTCCTGTAACCCCTTCAGCACCTCCTGCAGCTCCTTCTGGAAGTCTTCCACCACCTCCTCCAGTAGTCCAGCTTCCTTCACCGCTCGCCAGAACGCCACAGAGTCCTCTGGACACACACACATTAAGTATACAGCGGTCCTCTCCATCAGCCCATTCCACATGATGGTGAGTGCGCGCGCGTGTGTGTGTGTGTGCAGGTTGTCGTTCACCTCCGATGGCTGTGACCCACTCTGAGGTTTCCTCCGCCATGTCCGGGAACGAGACCACTGCTCCATTCACTAGAACACAGGCAGTAAACCACTTCAGCTTACTGAGACCAAAGCTGTCACTGTGTTCATTACGATGACATTGCCCCAGTGTTGCCACCTTTGAATCCCTGGCCCTGCGTTGAGGATTTCTCTAAACGGTGTAAATGGGCTCATCCACTGAGTCACGAAAGGTTGTTATGTTCTATGAAGTACGGCAAACTCTTTTCTTAAGAGGCAGGCTGTGTTCTGCCACATGTCATGGATGTAACTGGAGGAGGGATATCCACCATATGTTCTGCCACTGGACGTCATCCAGGAATTCCAAGAACCAGATTTACCTTTTATGTTGTCTTGAAGGCCAGCGTGCTCTTCATTTGACATACTTAAGATCGGATGAGTGCTGGTGATTATTAAAACCAAGAGAATGAATCCGTAAATATGACCACTTCTGCAACCCGTCATTGGCGGACTACAAGGACGCGTGGATGGCCTCCGATTTATGGAGAGAGATCTCCGCAAACGTCGGTCGAGGGGTGTATAAAGTTGTGGAGGAAAATACGGGACAAATGTGTCCGCGATGAAAAGCAGCAGTAGCGATGCATGGGGCAATAAAGTCTATGATAAATAAATAAACAGACCAACGACTTTCACACACAAAGACGTGACTCACTAGGTAGTCTTCGACAAAAAACGTTTTCCACCTATTGTTCTGGTGGTGAATTGCTCTGCAACACACGCAAGACTTTTTGAACCACGAATTGCAACGACACGATGCAGACTCATGTGCCAGCCTTAAGAGGGAGGCGCGTTGACCTCATCCCATCGTTAGATTGGGTCAGATATTTGGTATTTTCACACCTTAGTTACAGCCACGTGTGCGGCTTGCCCGGGGAAATGTGGATTAGCTCCTCCGATGGAAGAACAACCCTGCTCTCCACTGAGCCACAGTGGTTTTCAATCATCAATTATCATAACCATAATCATCACAGGAGCAACATGTCTTTAGTTAGATTCCAGTATTTGTATTCTCTTTGTTTTCAATACATGACACTTTCTCATTGTTTAGGAGCATGTGAACACAGGTGGGGGGGTGGGGGGGTAAACTTACAGTCGGCCGGTGAGGGGGTGGCAGGAAGCAGCTCGGTGGGCTGATCCCCGCCAACGGACACTTTGGTCCCCACCAGGTCGATCTTGGTGCTGCGGCACGTGTTGGAGCACACCTTGGTGTGCTGATAGAAGTCTAGCTCACCAGAGTCCATGATCTTTCTGCCAATAGAAAGACCATGAAAAGGGTTTTTATCATCAGACAGAGTACCTGTGTTTACTGACCAAACAGTACCATCATGAAAAGGAAGGAAGAGATGGAATAAATTGGTTTATGGAAATATTGATATGCTGAAATAAAAAGGAAGTAATCTGTAAAAGAGTGTGCAATTTTGTTTAGCTAAAAGTTTTAATGCCTGCATTTTATTATTGTCATTTCCCCATGTTCCAAGCTAACACAAAGCATGTAAAAATTGGTAATGGTACGTCAGCGTTCCGACGTTGCAGTAGCTTTCTTTTAAAGTCAATGTTGAATGAGCATTAAATGTATTAATTAACCAGTGGTGAGGATCAATCAGACATTAACAAATACAAATAACAAAATGGAGAAAAAAATACATTTAATAATATCCGTAATATTTCTGCTGAATGATCTCGTCTGTAGAACTTAACACCATAATGGCTCAAAAGCGTCTACAAGTCAATGGAAAGGTCCAGGACACCAACATTTGGATCAGGTAAAACATCATAAACATGAAACATGCAGTTAAATAAATGTCGTATTTGTTGAGTAAAACAGGAGCCTCTGAGCTTTGTATCCCATATTACCAAATCAAGTACAACTCCCTGTTTGTGTATTTGATGAGTCCACACCTTAGCATGGTGCTGTTGAGTCGGATGGCTCTCTTCCAGTCCTTCAGAGTGGATTTCCCCGCTAAGCATACAAATTCCTTTGGGCTGATGAGTTGCTCATTGAACTGATGACAGGAAAAATAAGAGAAAAAAATAAAGAAAGACTACTGCCACCAGCTGCTGATGATCTCAAATTTGATCTGCATTTCTTTAAACAGCTTTGTGGATGAGCTTCTTTTTTTTAATTTTTTTTTTTTTTAAACAGACTGTCGGTCCGGCGTGTACCTGTACGCATTTCACATTGATCCCAGGGCAGACAAACTTATTCCACACCAGAGTGGCTTTAACGTCCCCGCAGGTAATCGGGTAGAAGACATCGGTCTCCACGTCCACGTCTACCTCCTCGCTCAGCTTCACTGCAGAGACGGAGACGAGAAACACTATCATACAGCCAATTCTGCCAGAGTCAATTCTGTCATCTGATCAAGCGTGGATAGATTTACAACATCGCAGAGACTACTCTGTGCTTTGGATCGAGGGGAAAGACTGCATATTTCCACAAAAACATGCAGGGCCATTTTACCAATGATGGCCTCTTCAAGCGACGGTGAATCTGTTTCACCAGCCTCCGCTTCCGACTCTCCGGGTTCAACAGAGACTACGTCCTCCCTGGAAAACCCACACGGCACTTAGAAGCTTCAATGAAGCAAAGTGAACAACTCAAACTCATATTCCTCTGTGCACTACTGATAAGTACAGATTGGTTACCCTGGCTGAGGGGTCAGGTCCTCAGTCACCAGCACCACCTTGTCCTCCTCCACCACGGAGGGGAGGTCCTCGCCTACCGTCTCCGGTATGGTGACGATCACCACCTCGCTCACGTCCTGCATGGTGACCTCAGACGACGCCATAGGGAACGGGTGGAGCTTCATGACAGGCAGAGAGAAAACCTGATATATAATATCCATTTTCAGACAACATTGCAAAAAGTTCATCATTACAAAAAGAAAAAAGGGTTTTTATTTTGTAATACTAAATCCCAAACTTGCTTCAACTTAAATACACACTGAAAACACAAGTTAAAAACAGCAAGGAAATATGGATGGGACCAAAGAAAATTGTGATCATCTGCTCACAGATGATCATAATTCATATAAATAAAATCCTTAAAACAGTAGTCTGGTTCACTATCATGAATAATAATTTATAAACGACGTGACAGAGAAAGCTCTGTCTCTCTCTGCTGGTTACTTTCATGACAGAAACGAGGCTGCTTATGAAGTCCTACTTTAGACACACCACACATAGTGACATTTTGTCTCGAACTAATAATAACGTATGGTAATGCAATAAGTTATAAACGTCCACCATACCTCATTCTAACTTAACTAACATCCCGTGCACTGGTTCTAAAATCACTTTAGAGCTAATACCGCGGTACTCCGGGCTAAATGCCTTTTCACTCCAGCCTTGCACATCAGGTCTGTGTGACAGCATCACGAAGTTTGAACTCATCAAAAGAAACTTAACTGCTATTTGTCGCACCCGAATATCCAGCTAAGACCGAACACCACCGCATATGCATTTCATTGTAGACATTAAACAGTTACCTCGTGGTCTTGGTTAAAACCAACCGTTCGCTAGTTGATGAACGTCGCCTCGTCTCGCGGGGGATCGATTCGGGGATGTGACCGTTAGCCCCCACCGGCCGGTTGCTAGCTAACGTTAGCTCCGTGTTAGCCGAAGGAAGAGTGCAGTGAATAGATTCATAGCGGATGTTTCCTTCATAGTCCTAACAATACACCAACGCGCAGTTCTTTGAGATGTTTGTGGACCAATCTTGTAATTCATTAGATTTTATCCTCTCAAGACTACTCCATATTATTCCTTCTTCTTTGGGTTTGTTTGAAGCAGCTCATAACAGCCTTTCTCTTCTTCTTCTTCTTTGCATTTTAGCAGCAGCGAGTGTCAGCAGTCTTTTGCTAGCGCCATCGTGTGGAGTCATATGTGTGTCCGCTGCCTTGTTTTACAGTAATAAACACACGTTAGAGAGTATCAAAAAAATGCACCTGCAAAATGAATCATCAAGGCATTACCTAAATATTCACAACCCTAATAATGATCATGAATTTGACCCATGTCTGCATTATTTGTGAAACCTGCATTTAATAAAATTTCTGCAATATTTCTGCAAAATGATCTTGTGTGTAGTAACTTCTGTAAATGTTGCTAAACGCTGCAATGGCTCAAAAGCGTCCACAAGTGGAAAATCCTAGACACCAGCATTGGAATGAGGTAATACATTAGATGTTCTCCAAATAGTTTCTACAAAACATGCAATTCAATGAACGCAGGATTTATTGAGTAAATATTTGCGGTTTGTTCTGTCCTTGATGATGCTGTGGGCTGTCCTGGTGACCCTGGTGGAGTAAATGTCCTGTAGTGAGGGGGAGGCAGCTCCTAAGATGAGCTATGCTGTTTTTATGACACGCTGGATGGCCTTCCTGTCCCAAGCGCTGCAGTGTGATTGATGTGGTAAGGACGCTTTCGACCGTACTCCTGTAAAATCATTCAATAACCGCAGTATCATCTGCAAACTTGATGATACTGGTGTTTTTCTATGTGAAGAGGGTGTACAGCAGGGGACTCAGTATACAGCCCCAGGGGTCCCAGTGCTCACATATAATGAAATAAAAAATAAAGACAATAACAATATTGGTTAAAAGGATAAAAATAATAATACAAACCTAATAAAAGTGATAGAGTTCACGTTGGCACAGTTTTCCATGCAATTATCCCACAGGATGCACCTGAAGGGAACTATTTTGTTCCACACTGAAGTCATCACTGCTCTGCTCTCTCCCTTCTCTCGTCCTACCTCGACGGCTGCACCTACCGGGTAACCTGGCGAGGATCTGTGTCGGAACCTTGTCCTCTTAAGGCCGGCGCATGCTTCTGCGTCTGCGTCTTAAGCACCGCTGTGTCGACGCACTCGTTTCAATTCATGGTTCAAAAAGGCTTGCGTGTGTTGCAGAGCAATTCACCACCAGAACAACAGGCGGAGCAACGTTTTTTGTCGAAGACAACCTAGAGAGTCACGTCTTTGTTTGTGAAAGTTGTTGGTTTGTTTATTTATTTATCATAGACTTTATTGCCCCGTGCATCGTCACTGCTGCTTTTCATCGCGGACACATTTGTCCCGTATTTTCCTCCACAACTTTGTACATCGCTCGACCGGCAAACCGACATTTGCAGAGATCTCCCTCCATAAATCGGAGGCCATCCGCGTGTCCTTATAGTCCACCAATGACGGGTTGTATAAGTGGTCATATTTACAGATTTTTTCCAGCAAAAGCTCTTCAATCTGATTCAGTCTTTCGCAAAAAATCTTGGATGTAGTTAGCAGACCAAACGCAGCCTCGCGGGCTGCAGGAGGCTTGCGTCACAAGTCTAGAAAAATGGGTCGACGCACGCAAGGAGGTGTGAAAAGGCAGAAGCATAAACTAGGCTTTAAGGCGTAATAACCTCCTTGACCCCCACCAGTCAGGCTTCAAGGCCATTCCACAGAGACTGCTCTCCTTGCCGTCTCAGAGCAAGGACTCCACACTGCTAGAACCGCCTCTCTCTCCTCTGTCCTCATCTTTCTGGACCTCTCTGCTGCATTTGACACAGTCAACCACCAGATCCTTATTTCCTCCCTTCAGGAACTTGGTGTCTCAGGCTCTGCTCACTCCCTTCTCTCGTCCTACCTCGACGGCCGTACCTACTAATTTGGCTATATTGCAGTTAAACAAAACTCTTTTTCAGGTTTGTGAAAAAAAGTATCGTTGTTTCATATTTAATTACGTCCCCATCTCACTCAGAAGGCAGCGCAGGTACTGATTCAGGCTCTTGTCATCTCCCACCTGGACTACTGCAACTCCCTCCTGGCAGGTCTCCCTGCTACCGCCATTAGACCTCTGCAGCTCATCCAGAATGCAGCAGCTTGACTGGTCTTTAACCTTCCAAAATTCTCCCACACTACTCCACTCCTCCGCCCTCTTCACTGGCTACCGGTGGCTGCCCGCATCCAGTTCTAAACATTCGTACTCACGTACCATGCTGTGAATTGATCGGGTCCCGTCTACATCCAGGACGTGATCAAATCCTACATCCCGACCTGCACTCTCCGCTCTGCATCTGCAGAACTGCCCGTCCCTCCCTCACTGAGAGCAAAACACTCGACTAGATCACGACTCTTTGCTGTTCTTGCTCCGAAATGGTGGAACAAGCTCTCTGAAGACACCAGGACCACAGAGAGCCTTCACATCTTCCGCCGCAAACTAAAGACACACCTCTTCAGACTCTACCTCGACTAAAAGACTAACAAATTGTAGCACTTAAATTGTACTTGTAACGCCACTTATCTATAGCAAATTGTAAATTGGCTTATTTGAGGAAAATGCACTTTCTTGTTCTTCTGAGTTTGTATCCCTATGATTGAATGCACTTATTGTAAGTCGCTATGGATAAAAGCGTCAGCTAAATTACATGTAGTGTAATTTAATCGAATGGTGCTTTAAAAAGTGGACTAATGGTGTTTAAATGGCATTTATCTATTAGGAAAACCCCCCACGTGATTGTTGGCAGTGATCACATACAATTTACTGTCGATAAGCGTTTATTATTGGACTCATTAACCTCTGTTTCCTGCCTAAAATACATTATTGTTTTTATCAATAACTGAAATAATAACATATATGTAATATGTATAATTTTGTATTGGACGTTTAACATATTATAGCTAAAATACAGTGTATAGATGGTATTTATAGATGGTAATTACATTTTAGGCTGGATGGACTGATGAACACCTGTAGATGGGGCGCAGCCTCGAGCAGCCAGTTACGTCAGTGAGACGCGAAGAAGAAGCAGACATGCGCAGAGCACTCTAGAAACAACATGGCGTTCAAAACAATAGCTTGATTAGCATGCGTGCGTGGCTATCCGCCGTCTGGTCCACCTACTTTACACATGTTTACTCTACTGTTGCACGATAGGTGGTCTGTAAAATGTCTAACTCTACCTGGTCCCAACAAATACTCCAGCTCCTCCGCCGAATGAATAACTTTTATTTACCAGGTGAGTGACACGGAGTTAAAACGGTCAGTGGACGGTTGCTTATTAAAGTATAACACTGTCCACTTGTTCCGGCAGGCTCCCGTCGTTCTGAATGCTTGAGGTTTGAGGTTAACGGAGCACAGGTGGGCTGGGTTCCTCCACACGTTGCTTCGGTGTTGACACGGTACCCGAAAGTGTTCTGTCCTCCGCGCCGGGGCGCGCTTTCGCTGTGCCCGAGCTGGGACTCAAACGAGACGAGGTCCGCGGCCGTGGACTCAGTCCTGCGAACCGAGAGACAGGAGGGCTCCCTGACGTGTCTGAAAGGGTGGAGGGACGAGGTGGGTCTCTGACGTCACACGGAAGATGTACCGCGAGATCTTCACGTAACGTGATCAACGTGACCTATTGGTGGTCAACAGTAGCGTTATGTAAAGAAAATATTAATAGTATCGAACAATTACACATGAGGAGCATACAAGATGATTAAAAGACAAGTTCGTACAAAATATTGGAATAATATGAACAAAAACAGGAAAATATAAACATACATATATACACTTGGGTAAATCTAGTGGCTTTATAAAAAGTGAAAGATGGGCTCCATCCAAAATATGAGGGATAATTCACATTAAGAAATGAACTATCTGATTGTGATCGATGGTGTGAAAGGCCTTGTAAAAGACCAAAAACACAATATTAGCCATCATTTTACTGCAGCACTAACAGTAAACATAGTGGCAGATAGGAGATGTGTTTTTCTTTACACGTGCAGTCTTTTCTTTATGTCATTTGATTATGATTAGAACTTTTAAAAACCTCAACACCAACCTCACATTAGGTTGTTAAAACTCCATGTCATTTTAGTTGACTGAATTTCCATGAGATCTGTCCCAAGCAAGGTGGAAATGCTAGTTTGTCCTTTACTGACAACATTAATGAGGCTTTCTATAATGTCATGCACTGGAATTAAAATCCCATCCTACCCCAAATTTCCCTCAGTAATCTTGAAGCATTCATTATCTTTCAGAAGTACAGTGTGATGCCAAAATTCTTCGACCCTCCTTTGATGTGGATGGAAAGAGCAGCTACAAGTAAGTAGTCCTGGCAAATGCTTTGGCAGCTCACTCTGCTTCTAACGGTATTGGTGTGTAAGCTCACTGTGATGCTAAACCTCAGGTCTCTTTGGAGTCAAGCGGTACGGAGTGCACGTCAACGGCTACACGATTGGGAACAGCGGCGAAGTTAGCATGTGGCTGGCCCGACGCTCCCTCACTAAGCAGACATACCCCGGACTTCTGGACAATGTGGTGAGCAAACACTGTGATCGACTGATGCCAGCAATCTGTGATGATATATGTTTTTAGACTCTTGCAAGAATTATGAAGGTCTGAGAGTATGCTCATTCGGTCTAAATGTATTTCATGGACCTGGACAAGGCATATGACTGGGTTCCCCGAGAGACTGCGGGAGGAGTTGCGGGAGTGATAGAGTCCGTTCTTGGGGCCATCCAATCCCTGTACGCCCATAGTGGTCTCGGCAGTAAGTTGGAGGGCGTTTTACTGTTGACCTTTGCCAGGGCTGCGCCCTGTCACCAATCCCGTTTGTGGTATTCATAGTCAGGATATCGAGGCGGGGGGTTTACAGTCCAAAATGGCCCGAGGAATGGAAGTTTGGGGTCTCTGCTGGAACTGTTGAACACGCGACACAAACCCGGATAAGAGGTTGAAGATGAGATGAAGTCAGAAACATGTCCAATTTGACATGTCAGATTTCCAAATGATTAATCTCAGAGTGACGTCTTGTGTCTTTTGAAGGCAGCAGGCGGTATCGCAGCTGGTGTTAGTATCAAAAACACTCTGGTCAAAGAATGTCAGGAGGAAGCGTGTATCCCAGCAACCCTTGCAGAAAAGGCTTGCCCTGTAGCCAATGTAAGGTGAGTCTCTTGGAGTTAAAGGGTAAGTTAGCTGATTTGTGCTGATAAAATCTAGTTAACAGACTCGATTTGGCCAGGAATGTATCTACAAAAACTCTGTGTGCATAAGTCTTCTTATTCCTCCACAACTTTGTACATCCCTCGACCGGCAAACCTGACGGTAGATTTATGTTTTAGAGGTAGAAGGGCCTCTAAAAATCTCTTAGACCTGAGAGACAAAAAAAGCATAATTCATGTTGGAGGATGAAGGGAGGGAGGGAGGAAGGGACGAGGTGGGGTTTGCAACATGTCGACATAAAAGGACTTAATATGTTCAAGTCATGTGTCATATATATCATATCAATGACCTCATATCAATAACCCAGAGTGAGTGCTTGCATGTTTCTGGTTGTTATGGTGATGAACGACAGCTGCAACAGTTGTTGTTCTTGACAAGCTAATTAATGGCCGGAAAGTATGAACATGGATTTTTGTCCAAACAATGAGACAGATGAGACCCTATACAGTAAACTGATTATTGAGCCTCTTATTTTGAAATTATGGGATTGGGTGTGTGGGGGGGGGAGAGTTGTCGGGATCAGATATATACAGAATCTGAAAGATCTGACAGTTGAAGTTTAGGAGAATTTAAGAAATTCATAGAGAATCAACGTGAAGAAAATGATGAATATTTGAAAACGCATACGAGGTAGAAAGACGAGAGAGTCCTCAATAAGCACAATATTTTGATGACGTTGTCTGTGTTTGAAAGTATGCTGAAACACAAGCATTTAATTTAGAATTCACTCTATGTGGGTTGTGTATGTGTGTTTGTGTGTAAAGCCTAGTTTATGCTTCTGCGTTTACAGAGAAACGCAAGGACACGCAGACGCAAGAGCCCCTTGCGTGTCCCTTGCATGCCTTTTCCTCCCTCCTTGCGTGCGTCGACCCATTTTTCTAGACTAGCGCCAAAAGCTACGCAAGCCTCCTCCAGCACGCACGGCTGTGATTGGTCTGCTAACTGCATCCTTTCCAAAGTCTCACATTTCCAGTTTCATAGCACAATACCGCCATTATTAAAACAAAGCTTTTTTACGAGAAAATGGATCAGATTGAAGAGCTTTTGTCGGAAGAAATCCGTAAATATGACCACTTATTCATCATTCACCGTCATTTGCGAACTATAAGGACGTGCGGATGGCCTCCGATTCATGGAGGGAGATCTCTGAAAACGTCAGTTTGCCGTTCGAGGGGTGCACAAAGCTGTGGAGGAAATTACGGGACAAATATGTCCACGAAAAAAAGGCGACGAAAAGCAACAGTGGTGATGCACGGGGCAAAAAAGTCTATGATAAATGAATAAACAAACCAACAACTTCCACACACAAAGACGTCACTCTCTCGGTCGTCTTCAACAAAAAACGTTACTCCACATATTGTTCTGGCGGTGAATTGCTTTGCAACACGCGCAACCCTTTTTGAACCATGAATTGAAACAAGTGCGTCGACACAACTGCGCGTAAAGACGCAGAAGCATGCGCCAGCCTTAAGGAGTGGGCCTTGAGGATGGAGGGGGCAGGGAGGGAGGGGCACAGGGGGCTTGCAAATTGCTTTTGGAGAAGAAGGCCCTCTAAAATCTCTAAGACCTGAGTGACGAAAAAGTGTGTGTGTGGTTGTCATTGTTATGTCTCTACGACAGGGTTTCACGTTATGCCCGTATTTTGATAACATGCTTGTATTTTGATAGGACCGATGATGTGTTTCCGGTCGGTGTTGAAGTAAACCACAGAAACGTTGCGGCTCTCCTGATTCTTGTAGTGTTTTCACATGTGATGGCACCCATCACCAACGTCGACAGCTGCACTAGCAGGCTTTGTGGGAACATCTCTTAATTTCAAATCTCTACCCCTCTTTTTTTTGTGCGGAAATGGGCTTCCATAGTTCTGGGAATGCACAACTCTCAACAGAGATGAAATCCAGCCAAAGACGAGGTTTGTAACCAACTAGATGTAGAGATACCATGGTGACTGGGTCCGCCCCCTTACTATCAAAAAGAAAAATAACTCACAAGCGAGCAGAAAACTATGGAAGCCCATTTCTGCCACAAAAAAAGAAGGGTTAGAAAGTTGAAATTATGACTTGGTTGGTGACTACGGTCACACAGAGGTGTCGTTTGTGTTCAACGTCTCGCTGAATAGCTGTGAATATCTTGCCAACTTTACCGAACTGTAAACGTTCTACGGACACTTGCACCCACCCACTCCACTCTCATAACAAACAGGGAGGACAGGGACGTCTGACCTTTAGTGGAGTCTAAATTATCTTCGGTATTTCCGAGTCCGAAATCCATCAAACTTCTAGGGAGATAAAATACGTTCCGGTGTGGTATTTATTCCGTAGTTATCGTGATTAGTAACAATTGAAGTCCTGATGAGAGTTCTCTCTTTGTTGAACCAGTGTTGCTAATTTCTTGATAAGGAAATACGCGGCAGAATCAGCGGCGTCTTTGTGCATGCACGCGTTGATTTCAGTCTGGACGTGACGTATGGCTCCTCTGTTCTCTGACTGCAGCTGGACTGCTGCAAGCCGCCAGGTTTCTGTGAGACTCGCTAAGGACAGTAACTGCAATACAATACAATACGTCACGTCAGACACCACAAAAGTCTCCAATAAAACCAGATAAGGCCGCTGGTCACTTTTGACAAGAAGTCGCAAAGAGGGTTTGGAAAGTCAATGTACCAATCAACGAAGAAGCCTGCGCATTAAGTCATTTTGACTTTCTAACCCTTCTTTTTTTTGTGGCGGAAATGGGCTTCCATAGAAAACAGCCAAGCGAGGAGAACTTTTGCAAGCAATTTGCTTGACTTTCGCTCGCGTGAGAGGGACTTTGGCTCGCAAATGTTTGATTTTCGCACATATGGACCTGATTTGCGCTCTCAGATTTTGATATTAATTTGCCTTCACATTCTTGTCAATGCAGCAGCACACTGAACTACTTGAACCTATGTTCCAGTTACACCTACATGGACGAGGAGGGGGTGTTCGCAGAAAGTCAGTTTGTCTTCGATTTGGAACTTCCTCTGGACTTCAAGCCTCGAGCAGGTGATGGAGAGGTCCAAGACTTCTACCTACTGCCCCTAGATAAGGTCGGGGTTAAGGATACATTCTGCAGAGTGATATTTATATCTTTAGATTTCAGACATGCGTATAGGATTTGATCTTCTATCTTGGTTTCAGGTGAAGGAACTGCTGGCCACTGATGACTTCAAACCCAACTGTGCCATGGTGGTCTTGGACTTCCTCATCAGACACTCGTTTATTGACCCAGATACAGGTTTGTGGCTATCTTACAGAATCACCACTGGATGAAATGGAATTTTTTTTTTGACAACTTGAAAGTTTTTAATGTTTTGTGTTGGCTGTATGCTTTTCATTTCAGAGCCATGCTATCAGGAATTTGTGGCAGGACTCCATCAGACGTTATAGACTGCAACTGAGGACTAATTCTACTCTAATTTATTGACGAGGCATTCATTTTTAATTTCTCCATGCTGAGAGGGCTCAATCTCAGGGTTTCCAAAAAATATGGATTGGGGACAGTGGAAAAAAATTGGGATGAAATTTGAGGGAGAAATACCCTGCTAGAGTTTTAATTAAACCTTTTTGACAACATAAACATTACAGGTGCCGTGGTGTTTCACTGCCACGATTGGAAGCCGAGGGCACTGCGGCTCCTCCCAAGTAACGCTCTTGTGGGCATACACTGGTTTTTACAACGTCCAAATCCAAAGTCCAAATCCATGATTAGTTATGATGGAATTATTCACATTGTACCATACTATTTGTATTTATCTATGTGCCCACAGGAGTTAACTTTGAATGGATTGGGTACAGAATATCTTCTACGTATGTGGTGATTTTGTCATTTGAGCATTGAGTAAGACCTAGTTTTGTGCATGAAAATGCTGTATCATATTATTTTGGACAGGTTTGTGGTGAGCCTTTGTCCCATGATCCAAGTGCAGCAACCCAACGGTTGTTGTCAAAAATGTCAAAAGATGCAGGGAATTTTGCTCTTATAACCTGGACGTCTTGCCATTGGTGGAGCTTGTCTTTCCAAAATTTCGGTAAATGGGAATTGGTGTCCTCCATATCCTCAACTATTTGTTCTCCTAATATTTGATTGTATCTTTTTTTATGCATTAAGAGAGAGTCGCACATTTTGCTCTGATTGGTTCCAGGTGATGTTTTCACAAACCAACAAGGTGTCTCTTACGGATCTATTATTTGTGAGAATGACAATAAGGTCCCCCATATGCAAACTGAACCTGCAAACGGGAGGCCTATGATATCTTTTGCTTGCCTTACGTCACATGTAATGGGCTCAATTGCAGGGATGAACTTGTAAGGGGAAAGTCGACAACCCCGTTGAACACTCAGTTTGACTTTGAAAGGTGCTCTATTTTTTTCTCTATTTACCAAAGCTGCGCTAGTAATGTCAGTATACAGCAAATATAGCCATGTTGGAAATATTTTGCCAAAACTGAGCTTGAACAAAATAACTTAACTTATCAGTACTAGTGACCAAAGGCCTTCTCCAAGAGGCAAAGAGGAAGGTTGCCATCTTGGGAAAACAGGATCTCTGATCTCTGACTTGGGGTAGGCTGTTAGACATGGACCAGCCTTGAACCCCACATGTTTTGTCTATATCGACCATCTGATTAAATACTGGTTGCTTAATGTCAACTCTTAGCAAAGCAAAATTATTGCAGTTTTTCAGGTCCACTCCTTCTTCTATTATGAAAAGAAGGTTGATAACCTCGAAATACTTTCCTTGAACACTTGCAACAAAGGGTCTTTAAGCTGGTTACAAAAGAATTATACATCTTTGAGTGAACTGTGAGAAGCTGGAAATCTATGACTATGCTCTTCATCGCTTCGGTTCCCTCACTGATTGTCAAGTCTCATTGGAGAAAATATTAGTTTTGTGAATAAGTGAGACAAAAAGAAACTTGCTGTCAATGATAACTCCTTGAGAAATGCTAATCTCTTTTCCCCCCCAGACACGTGAAGGGAAATAGTAGCGTTGCAACTTTGCCTCTTTTTTGCTGCTTTTGGTTTTTACCTTCAGCCTGAAAAAAACATTGTTTTATCTTTAATATGCTCCCACCACAAAGGCTGCAAGGTGAACCATTGATTACATTGTCCTCACATCTCGGTGGTCTAATAGGCTTGTTAAGTTTCCAGGGGCCTGTTTATTACCCTACATTTGGTTTTATTCCCATCTAAATCCAACAATAGCTGTCAACCAACACCCGTGAGAGCCAGTCAAATGCATGAACTGAAATAAAGACAAATCATGTGAGAATATGGTTACAATTTATTTCCTTTAGAATACATTAAAAAAGACGACTGGCGGAAAGTGAGGATTAACTTGTATACAAAACAATATTCCTCTAACAAATAACCAATCCTTTAGCAGTTACTTGCATTTTGTATTTCAGAATTTGACTTGCTTTTTTTAAAGCTCTGTGCAAATAATACATTAGCCAGTAGAATATCACATGGTTAAAATAACATACAACAGAAAAGAAGCAGAAAAAAAGAATGGTTGCAGACATCCAGGTGAACAGCCAGAGTGGAAACCAAACCCCTTCAAATAACACACTGGCAGGTGCCAGCTACACCAAAACATTCAAAATAAAAGCTGCTATTTAAATAATATGTCCAATGACGGCAGTTAAACCATTGAGGCTGGAGTTTTCTGTACTATCTTCACTTATTGCCGTTAAGTTACTGCCTCTAAAACTATACTTCCTGTAGATGTTTTTAAATGAAAACTACAGGACAACCTGGATGATTTCCAATGTAGAATCTGTTCATAAAGTGTTGTGTTTCCACAATAGTAGTAAAACAACAAGGGGAGAATCATCAACTGAAAACTGCGTTTGTGTTGAAAAACAAAACAAAACTCGACATATAGTCAATGTGTAGTGAATGGTAAATTAATATAGATAATGGGGACACAGAAGGTGTTGGGTTTGCATTAATGAAAATTAAACATGAGCAGATCTGAAATCAGGGATCTATCGGACAAAAATATGATATATACCTATGGAAAAGGTTAATCCGAAATAAAGTCTCTTTAGACAAGCCAGATTTATATTATGGTCTACTCCTCTCAAGTCAAATTGGAGCTGTTAAATTTGATACCCAACTTTATACAGTATCTGACTGTCCACAACAACTCAATCACGTTATTGTCTCACTGACAGCTTAACATGTTCATGAACAAGCTTGTTACAAACTTGTTACAAGCTACAAAACATTCAAGCAAGTTGGTCTCATCAAAATCTGCTCTAAATGAACAACAGCTGTGTCAAAGAATAGAGGTTCATAAAATGAAAAGAAGCCCTTCCAATGTTCGGGGATGTTTTCACATGGGAATGAAAGAGTGGAAGAAAGACAAAAACACGAGTCCCACTGGAGGCCCTCGGACTGCCCACAGGTTTGGAACTGAAATTTTCCATTTTCCCCCACACATTGAAAAGGTACGAGTGACAGCAATGTTTCCTTCTCATAATTATGACATGTCTAAAGAATCCTTAACGCAAGATTACAATACTTTCATTTGAAAGCTAGAAGCTATAACCATGTACATGTAAATGTATATACTCCCTTTTCTCTCCTCATAACCGCCGCATTCATAGTGCCCGCCTTGGTAACCAAGCAGACACGGAGGAGGGATCTTTTTTATTTCTTGATTTTTTTTGGCCTGGTTTATTTCTCTCCCCCCCTCCAGATCCTGCATGACCAGACACTCTATAGCAGGGTGCAGCCACCCTTCTTGCCTCGCCTCTTGGCCTGCAGCGCCGCCCTGGTGGCCATCTCGAACACCTCCCGCACACCGTCCTTCGTCTTGGCCGAGCACTCAAGGTACCCGAAGGCATTAATCCGGTTAGCCATGTCTCTCGCCTCGTCTGACCTCACTGGCTCCTGTTTGGATCAACAGATCAACCAAAATCATGAAAGGAGATCTTGAGCTGGTAGTAAACAGGACATAATTTAAAAATGAATGTAGATTGTTCTTGTGTCTTACTACATGGGAAGGAGATTTTCATAGAGATGGATGTATTTGTTAAGTAGTGAGCCTTCGATTGGATAAATTGCATCCAGATTACACTGCACAAAATTATGTTTTTGCTTAGTGTGAACAAACCATTCCTCAGCGTTTTTTTTACCAAGCATTGGCGATGTATGATTTTAGTGCATGTTTGTGCGTGTGAGGCAGCCGCACAGTCTTCATTCTGAACTGGGCTCATATGAAGTCAGCACGTTTGTCTATAGAACTCTTAGCGCTGTTAGTTTCAAGCCATCGGCCCAGTCAATACATTACATTTCTAAAATACCTTGCTCCCTCCCATGCTAGTATTCTTGTCTGTTTTTGCACACTCCGTATGGAGAAGCCCTTTATACAACCAGGCTACAAAACATGCACACCATCCCTTTAGCTCTATGCTAGCTTCCACAGAGTTTAATGCTGCTCTCGTTGGTGAGTAGCCAGCATGCATAGGTCAAACGATGCGGACTGGTACTTAACGTAACCTTTTTTTATGCACTAGGGCTCTTGTGAGTTTGGTGGTGAAGCCCACAGCAGCTTGAGGGGGAAGTGCCGTCTCACGAACCTGTTTCATCTTTGCCAGCTCCCGACGCGTGTGCTCGTCATTCCGCAGGTCTTTCTTGTTCCCAACAAGAATAATGGGCACGTTGGGGCAGAAGTGCTTGACCTCGGGAGTCCACTTTTCCGGAATATTCTCTGCAACAGGCATAAGGTGTACATGTTGAATACAGATCAGATCCCGACAGAATGTTTAAGAAAAAGCAGCACCACAAAAGAAGAAGCCTCACCCAAACTGTCAGGGCTGTCAATGGAGAAACACATGAGGATGACATCTGTGTCTGGGTAGGAGAGAGGTCTCAGGCGGTCGTAGTCCTCCTGACCCGCTGTGTCCCAGAGAGCCAGCTCCACCTAGAGCAGGACGGGATAGTCAGACCTCTTCCACCATATTTTCACGACAAACCTGGCTGCCTCTATGCCATGCAAACATGTACGGGAAGATTCAAAATCCTTTTGAAAAAAATACAATTGAATGAAGTAAATCAGAAAAGACAAAAATAAGATGTTATGATGTTTAATTTAAAAAAGGACAAAAAGTAAATGTCTTCACATGACCAATCAGTTTTTGTGAAATGAATGTTTTGTTAATCGAATAGTTCAATATTTTGGAAAATACAGGTATTTTAGTCAATGTATTTAAAAACTCCAATGATATTCCAATATAAAAGGTCACAATAACATCAAGTTTATGTTTGTAGTCGCCTTTCTGCCTTTATTCAAGTTTACACTTTTATGGGATTTTCAGCTCTGCCTATTTTTTTTAATGATCTGCAGTTGTCCCTGTGACATTAGTTTAAATGTATGTATTTTATTGAAATTGTCCAATATTGTTTATTCGGAATAATGAACAGCTTACCTGTTTACCGTCCACCTCGATATCGGCCACATAGTTTTCAAACACCGTAGGCACATAAACCTCGGGGAACTGATCTTTGCTGAACACTATGAGGAGACAGGTCTTTCCACAGGCACCGTCACCGACTATCACAAGCTTCTTCCTGATTGCTGCCATCTGAGAGAATAACAACAGGATAAAGGCATTGACCTGTATTCAAGATCAGGGATGTCACCGAAAGAGTTTGGGAAGTCAGACTGAAAATATGAAATCCTAGTTAACGTTTAGACAACTTATCACGGGCAGTGGTATGAACCGTTTCGTCATGGGAAACAGAGCTGTTGAGCCATGGAATGTGAAGAGGCTAAACAGGAAGTGCTGGGGTGTGTAAAGTGTGAAAATATTTTTGCACCGGTTTGCAATGAATGAAACATGTTCTTTGCTCAACTAACCACTCAAGTTGATCAGAATCAAATCAAATTCGCCACGCCAGTGCACACTTAATGAAATCCCTCCTTCAAACCATGAACATCTGCTCATTGCTCCTCAAATCTTGTCAGGTTCCGCTGCAATATATCATCACAATGTATTTTTAGAAAAGTTAAGCAACCATGCAATGTGAACTGCTGCGTTTCCAGCTCGGCGCTTTGACAGTGGCACTGCAGTTTCCGGTCTTCTCATGTGCGAGGCCCTTTTTACTCTTCAATCTAACCGGAGATTTAAAAAAAATAAGTGCCCTGCATTAACACAACGTTGAACTGCGGATCCATGACTTTGATTGGTTTATTATTATTAAGACTCTGGAAAGATTGGTCTCTTGTGTCCACTTGCCCGAACAAAGGTTCATTTACTCACATTCACTCCATCGATTTACGAACGCTGACTACTTGACATCAACCGTTTCCTCTGTCCAATGTTTATGTGCTAATGTATGTGATGTGCTCAGTGTGATGGGAAATACAATAGAAGCAGGTCCCTTTACATTCTGTGACACGACTGACGCGTGTTACACTTTAGACAACAGATAATAAATGTGACCTTGTGTTGTATTCGTCAAAAATCTCTAGAGCAAGAATTTGACTGAAAAACTTTGTTCTTAAATCAACAAAACCTGTGACAATAAATCACTTCATAACATAAAAGCAATCTCCTCCCGTTTAAAGATTACCTAAATCGACACATCATGGTGACTAGATGTCACGGTGTTAACCTCTAACCTGCCACGGCTGTTGTCCTAAACACGCGTATTTGGAATATGTGCGTCACTAAACCATCGTGCCTGTATACAACTCAGTGGAAGCATCTAGAGCTCGTTGGTGGATGGATCTCCTCATTCACATGGCATTTAGCCCACAGCCACAGTGACACCAGCTGATGTTGATATATGAACATTTTACCCGCGTTAGAGAGTCAAATATGTAGACGTGGAACTGTAGAAAATGGCTAATATCCGAGTAAGTGCTCAAAGGTCTGACGTAACGTTTTCTGTATAATTATAACTTAAATTCACTTCCTCACTGCCGTTTACCTCTTCGTGCAAAGGGCTATAGCGTATGTCAACTCAATCTCTAGGGAATTGCTTCTCCTTATATATACCTTGCTATCCTAATGTCGCCTTAAAGTACATTGACTTCCTCATTTAGCCTCTATTTCTTAACGAAAGAGTACTTCTAGCTAGCAGCGGTTGCCATTCCATCTAAGGAGGCTAACTATTAGCTTGCTAACTTTGCTGAGTTTTCCGGGGGACCTGGCCTCTGGTCAAACTAGATATCTAACATTTTAAGAGCTCTATACATCGCTTGGTTCTAACACCTAACCTGATATTCAAACCAAGTTAGCAAATACCCAATGCGAGGAGTTACTTTTACAGCATTTTTACCGTATTATTGGATATCCTCGCCTTTCTTTAGTTTTTCCTGTCGGACCTATCAGTCACGCCCCCAGTGCCACGGAGATAACGCCCGCCCATAATATGTACTTTAGGCCAATTGGACACGGCGGAATAATGAGTGACTAGTGACTCAGCCAACCAACTAATGCACGTACAAATTGCCCAGTTTTATCTGATGGTTTTACCCTGAATTATTTATATATATGGCCGGTTTGCCTCGTTGATATTTTGCCCTCACTTTGCATTCAAACTGTGCCGTCAGAGTTTGACACGTGTAGTTTGGACTTGGGCAGACAAGAAGCTGTGAAAGCGGATGGACTAGAACCCAATATTATTGTCTGAAGATGGACATGAATGATGATAAACATAGTCTGTAATGTCAGTACAAAAACTAGTCCGCTACAGATCACCAACATCTAGCAAGAACACGTGACAACGGATTTGCGTTTTGAGTTGAAAGTTACTTAAAAACATTAGAAAAAATATTTAAGTAGACGTACAAGAAGTAAATGAACGCTTTACAGCTGAATTCAAGACAAGATAAAATACAGTAATATTTTGTTAAAATCTGTCAGTTAAATAACATTACACAAATTATTTCCGGGGAAGACTAAGTTATTTCTTTAGCTATTTCCATCAGTTTCCTTTTGCACTTATGGAGATATGAAATGATATATTACATTTGGTAATGTCAGAATATGTATTAAGGCCTTTGTAGGTCTATACTCTGCTTGTGACCTTGCTTGCATTTTTCTTTTTTAATCTTTATATATATATGTTTACTGTTTTGTACTATTTGGACCTTGAGTCTGAAATAAAAGTTGATACTGATGTACTTATCAAAACATGTACTACTTAGCATTGGATTAAAATTAAAATTTTAAAATTCACTGCAAAGGCAAAGTGTGGAGGTAATGAAAGTAACAAAATACACTAAGCATGTAACCAGAAGTGCAAAAAGTAGTGAAATGCAGTTATGAACAGAATGTATGCCGAATGAAATATAGAACGGGAATGTGAGCAAAGGGGCATACATATATACATTGACTTAGTTTCAATTCATTTCTGGATGCCTAAGGGATCATGATTATGTTGTTTGATCCCCTCCCTTGACCCAAGATAATATTGAAATACCTTCAAAATAATTAAGCTATATCATGAACTCATGATGATCACTCATCACGCGAGACGTTGTTAAAACACAAACGATACCTCTCTGTGACCATAGTGATGTCAACAACCAGCTGCAAGGAATCTGCGCATGCGCATATCTCAGGTCATAATTTTGACTTTGTAACCTTTCTTTTTTTGTGGAGGAAATGGGCAAATACACAAAAAAGTAATTTGGGTCACAAACTTAAAATGTCGGCAAGCGGCCCGTTTTTCGATTAGTTTTTTCTTTCTTGGTTTCTCAATTGAATAACGGAAAAACTAATCGTTTTTGGTTTTCGGGTTCATCAATTGAAAAATCAATCAAGAACCAATGATACACGGACTTACACCAATTTTTATGTATTTTCGCTTTATGGTTTTTACGGTAAAAGAAACTATCAAAAAGGTACACGGACCTATGAGTTTCTATATGTTTTATTGCCAGAAAGTAACTGCTGTCGCTGGCAGGTCGCCTCGAGAGACCCTGATATGCAGTGAGCTTCTACGCCAAGCTGTTAAAATGCCACGTTATTAAGTTTCAATATGCTTTAAGGAGAGAAAGTAAATGTTGGGATAGCCAAATATGTGCTAACAATCTGCTGGAACATCAGTTGTTATAAAGTATTCAGGCCAGTAAGCATTATATATTGATGTACAGTATATTTAGCATACATTATTTCATTTTAGAAGGTGTATCTCCTTCACACCTCTCCTGGTATTGTGAATCACTATTATGCAACGAGTCTATGTGTTTTTTTATGTGCATTGGCTGTGGATAGACTTTTAAATGATCATATTTTTCTCCCCTCAAAAAATTGAACAAGATAACCAGCCATCCATCCATCTTCAAACCACTCATCCGTCATACCGGGTTGCACGGGGTCTGAGCCAATCCCAGCTAACTTTGGGCGAGAGACAGGGCGCATCCTGGATTGGTCCCACGCAGACACAAGGAGAACATGCAAACTCCACACAGAAAGGCTACTGGGCGCCCATGCAGCCATAAAAATATGGAAGCACTAAAGAGTGATTTGTTTTGAATGGAGCTGCAAAGTCAGCAGAAAAATAAACAAAGGAGGAGCTCAACGACGTCAGAGTGGGCTGTGGGCCCTCTGGTTCACCTTCAAAAGGCTCACCTTATGCATTTGGACCCCTCATTGCTGTGCGAATGCATGTGGGTGTGCTGTAAGGGTATGATCGGTGTGTGTGTGCCAGAGTCTCATTGTACCTCCAAGTCCACAGTGAGCTACTTAATTCGTCCGGTAATCAGCTGCCTGGTTAACCAGAATTAATACCTAGCAAACAGTTATCTGTGGTTTGGGCTGAGAGGCGCTGGGTCCGCTGTTGTGAACCGGCACGGTATCTTCATTAATCAAAGTCAGAAGTTGCTGTCTAGTTAGCATTCATCATAGTCCGTCTTATGATATTCCGATCATTCAGTGTGTGGGGGAAGCATATGCTGAGCTGGCCCCGGACAGAGAGTGTGTATGTAAGTGGGGGGGGGGGGGGGGGACAACAAGCCGGAGAAATCAATGCATGCAGGGAAAGGCTGTCCTCAGCAGTACGGAGGCTCGGGGCTCAGTAAGCAAGTCTTCCTCTGCAGAATTAATGAGAGGGCTTTTCTGGATGTCCAGGCTGGGCAGGTCTGTATTCCTCAGCCCAACACGTGCCTCACAAACGGAGGGCAGGTTGATGTGGGGGACCGGGGGACAAAAAATATGTGTACACTAGAGGTGCAACCGATCGTCAAACACAGTTTTTGGACCGGATAACTGATCAGATCTGCGCAAAAAAACCTACAAGTTTTTTGCTACAGATAATGAAACAGTCGACAAGAATTCAGACGTTTTCCTTTCAATCATCCCAAAATTAATTTCATCTGATCAAGCATTTTAATTGATTCCACAATTAAAATAATTATAAGATCATGTATGGGCTAAGATTGAATTATGGGTTAAATAAAACCTTGGCATAGGGACTTTTAATGATCTAATAGTCTGCTTATAATTCCTTTCTAGTATTTCCCTCAAACTATTGAAGTTTTTCACTACATTTCACCAGATTACATGTTAACACATCATGTAACTTATAACTTATCATTTACATTCGTTCAATACTAATTTTCACAGAACAAGCCTGAACACGTCTTAATCTAACAGATTTTAACATATTTGACTGAATATTGGCGGATAACAATCTATAGTAAAACGATAAGTAATGCTAAACTGTGAATAATTTACTCTTCCAAACCAGGAGGAAGATCAATACAGATCAAGGAGCAAACACGATCTGTTACACAAAAGTGACGCACACACATACACAGAATGAGTGGAGGGCTGGAGAATACCAAGCCTGGAGTTGATTGGGGAATGAATTCCAGCTATTGCCGATCAATCAGTGGAAGGAGCACAGCCCAGACTAGGACTAGGACAACTAGATGCCTGTTTTGAACAGCCCCTAACCCAGACTGCCCTCCACACCTGAACCCCCCTGCATCCATGTACCACTTTTAATGAACATCAATGTATTAATACCCATTCATAACAAATACAGAACAAGCAGCTCACATTACCGGGAGCCGCTCTGCAGTTAACGGCAGCTCGCCTGTAGTTATTAGTAAAAAGTCCCTTTTAATAACAGTTTACAGGCTGAGTAACATCTTACTGAGGTTGTAACGGTTTTATACTATATGTTTATACTTTATATTATGAACAGAAATGGATCAAAGTGAGTTCAGACAAGTTCTGAAAGATCACTTTCTAAGTCAGTAATGTTACAAACGTTGAGAATAAATACATAGAGACACTGAACTTGCTTTGCTCCTTTTGTTTTGTTGTGTGATTATATACTAACTTTACTTTAAGTTGTGTTTTATGCAGCCCGGAGGAAGCAGCATCAAGCTGAAGGAGAACGATTTGTGTCGCGACCGTCGTGGACTAAGTTGTCAAGGCACAAGGAAACAGGTTTGTACTGCAAAAGGGTTGGTTTATTCTGGCAATTCAGAACATTTCCCCCAAAATCAGTTAATGGAGTTAAAGGACCCCAATTAAAGAAGTTAGCAAAACATAACTGTCCCCGAATAAGGTTTACACATCCACTTCATTCATCGTCCAACACTTGGTGAAAACCAGGGCAGGACAACCAAAGATATGACCTAGAACGTAACACTAACCTGGCCTAAGTCAGCTACTGTAGCTTGGACATATTCTGTAATATCTTAAGTTACAGTTAACATAGCTTGTATCCTTTGCTACAAAACAATAAAATGTCCTTGCATAAAAGTTAATAAATGTGTTTGCTGTTGTGGGTTTTATTGACAGTATTGATGGAATCTCAGCTGCCTTTAAATTGCATTATTTCTTTTAGCTGAAAGTATATGGTTTAACTGATTTAATCTGAATTTAAAATAACCAGAAAATGTTCTTATATGTGCCTGAAGTATATGATGCCCCGGAGGAGAAGCATATCTCCCTAAACTAAATGAAATAAGAAGATCTTCTTTGTACTTTAAGTTTTTCAGGTTTTAAAGCTTTTACTGTCAGAAAGAGCAGCAGGTTGCAAGGCAACGGGAGCAGTGGAGTTAAAGCTGATGCAAGTCAGACCGCTCGGTTCAGCCTATGTGGTTGGCAGAGGACCCAGTCCAGGTCTAATGCGAAGACTACAAGGTCCTACAAGGATGCAGACAAGACATACCTACAGCCTTTCAGTGCATGCTGGCTACATGCACAGTGCCTTTTCAAAATAAACGTGTGCTTTTGCAGGAAGTTAGGTCAGCAAAATAAAGTTTATGAAGAGTTGGTATTAACTTGATTAAAAAAATCATAATAGTTAAACATGAAGGCCTCCTCTTTAGAATTAATCCGGTTGTAAACAATGAAAACACACGGAAGAGGAAGTCTTGGCTTATATCTGCTTTTTGAACCCATGGACTAACTCCTTGTTATCAGCTACATATCCAAATAT